CGAGTACATTACCGTTCATAAATATAGGAAGGTCTAAATTATTGCAATTACGATTGGCTGAAAAAATTGAGTTTTATCTGAATTAAAGTTCACCAGCCACTGTGAGCCCCATACTGTAGCAGAAGTGAGATTCTTTTCAAGATCAAATGCTTGAAAAGAATCTCACTTCTGAATGAATAAATGGTAGTATCATCAGCGAACAATGCCACCTTAGATGTGAGAATATCTGGAAGATCGTTAATGTAAATTAAAAAGAGTATAGGGCCAAGGATTGAACCTTGAGGAACCCCTGAGGTTACAGAATAAGAAGAAGAGTGCTGTCCATCAAGGACAACTTTTATACTACAATTTGAAAGGAAGGATTCAATAATCTTAAAGATGTTTCCAGATACACCGTAAGAAGAAAGCTTAAGGAGGAGACCAGCATGCCAAACTTTATCAAACGCTTTAGAAATGTCAAGAGCAATGGCCTTAACCTCTCCACCTTTATCTAATGCGCGATAAAACCTATCGGTTATTACTGTTTTTTTTTTTGTTTTTTTTTTTAATTTTAATTCACCTCCTCAAGGCCGAGAAGGCCACTACAGACAAGGAGGCTACTTATTTGTGGTTATAACCCTCTCTCAACTCTATAACTCCGAAACACGAACCTTGACGAGCAAAGCCGCTGCGCGGAGAAACGAGTTGAGCGTGGTACTACCAGGGACGTGGTGGGGATCGAACTCGGAACCACTCGTTTATGAAGCGAGCGCTCTACCACTACACCACTACCGCATTACTGTTAGCAAATCAGCTGTAGAACGAGAAGATCGAAATCCATATTGATGATCAGAAAGTAGGTTATGAGATTCGAGATGAGAGATTAAGTGTTTGTTAATTAAAGATTCAAAAACCTTGCTTATGATAAGAAGACTAATGGGACGGTAGTTAGATGAATCAGATCGCTCTCCAGAATTTTTAAAAATAGGGATAACAGATGCTGCTTTCCAGCAGGCTGGAAAACAAGACTCTGATAAGCACTTGTTAAATAGTTATGAAAGGATAGACGACAGCTCCGGAGAACACTTCTGCAAGACTATAACGGGTATGTTGTCCGGGCCGCAAGCTGTAGAAGAGTCTAAGCAGGAAATCACTTTAGATACAGAAGCTGGAGTGATACGAATGTCGAGCAATTGATCAACCTGTTTGACGGCTATATCAGGTAGAACGCAACTAGTGGAATCAAGAGATGATATTGATGAAAAGTTCTTGGCAAACAATTCAGCTTTGTCTTTAGGTGAGGTGACAAAGTCTGAACCGTACAAAAGAGGTGGAATTACAGACTTGCCCTTATTATTGATACTATTAAAGATTCTCCAGAAGTCACGAGAGCCTAATTTTTGTGATGAAATACGAGATTTCATGATCTGAGAATAGCGGGTTTTGGCGTTAGACAAAACCTTTTTACAATGGTTCCTAGCAGTAATAAACAGATGTCTGTTTTCTGGAGAATTGTTTTGCTGATAGATATGGAAGTAATGGTTTCGATTGGCAATTGCAGCAGCACAATGTGAGGAAAACCATGGAGAAGAGTGAGGCTTGACCTGGAATCGTCGAGAGGGAATAAAGGATTCCATGCCAGCCTGAATCCACAAAGTTATGTAAGAAGCACATTTGTCAACAGGGAGACGAAAAGATTTCTACCCAGGGGCCATCACAAAGAAAATCACGGAAAGAGTCCCAGTCAGCTTTAAGGTAGTTGTAAGATGTACAATGATAGGGGGAATCTGATGATAAAGAAGAATGAGATAATAGTTTTAGAGAAACCAAACCATGATCAGAAGCACCTAAGGGTGAGTGTGAAGAAGCTGAGCACTGACTAGGATCAGAAACAAGACATAAGTCGAGTAGAGAAGGTAAATGACTCGGGTTGTCAATTGTCTCATTTCCACTAAAAAACCCTAAGCCATTACAAAGGGCTCCAATGTGGCCTTGGCAATGCACACCAAAAGTACAAACAGGGACACCATCCATGCGCAACATGGCACTGTTAGTACTCTGATATTTTTCAGCTGTTGATGGAATCAGCCTCTCTGAGAGCTACCACAGAGTTCGGGAAACCTGACTACCAGCCGGCCTCAGGACCATAAAACTGAGTTTTAGAGCTGTACCCTCATTTGGAGATAATAGAATGAGTTGCTTAGTTATAAAAACAGAGACACAAGCAAAACCCATGCATCGAGTCAAGAAGATCCAGCATTTAACATCCTAAACTGGAAACAATGTATTAAAAATACATCTGAGCCAGCCTAATTGTTGAAGAAGGGGTGCGAGGCTGGTCAACAGATAGAATCTGTTTACCCCTTAAGTCTTTGCCTAGGAGGCCTTCTACAAGACAGCAGCCGGATGCATGTAACATCTGCCCAAGATGAGTATTTTTATTGAGACACCATCTCTAGCCTTTACTCAACCAAGAGCCCCAAGGCAGGGTGTGTTTTATCTTGGAGTTCGCGTCTCCTAG